GTTTGGTATTTTTTGATCGGAAAATTAAAAGTAATGCATTTTTATTTCGAGAGTAATATTTTAAAAGCATATACTAAAGGCCGCTTAAAAATCTGTTAGCTATCAACACACTCTTATTTAGACCTGAAAAAATCGAAAACATTTCAAGTGGTACTTCAAAAGATAGAAAAAATTATGTATCCTACGTAATTCATCGAGAAAAAGAAACATAGATTTTCGAAGTTACACAGAAAGCAAATTTTAAAAAAACCATTAAACATTAATTTTAGTTTCAATAAAAAAGTATATTATTTTGTATCATGCATAAATATACAAATTATTAGTATTAAAAACATTAATTAGGTTAAGTAAAAAGGTATGTATAGTATTAAGTCTTAGTTGGAAAGTTTTAGCAGAAGTAGCAAAACAAAACTAGGTTAAGCGATAGTATATTAGTCATAGTACGAGACAAATGTGGTGACAGTGGTGGTGATCGTGTGACTCGATTACCACCAGGCACCAGTGTTTATTTAATGTGCTTAAAATATTTTTTGTTAATTTGCTGAATATTTGATATGACAATTGTCAATTACCTATAAACAAAAGCATGCGATTTTTCGTTTAAATTGATTCAAATAGACATTTTACTTTACAGCTTACAATAATAATTAACGATTTAAAAATGTTTATTATAATTATGTACTGGTATTGCTTAGATATTTTCAATATTATTATTTTTTTAAAAGCTTAATAAATCCTATTATGAACATTACACAACATGCAAAATATATTGTATGTGATTGTACCTATATCTAACATAATATTAGAAATACATGCTATTATATTTTTAACCAATATATCTACCAGTGACGTGTTATAAAGGTCGCATGTACAGATAATAATAACATAAAATGCATGAATATCATTTAATATATTATATACATATGAAGGAGCTATACGCTTCAACGAACTCGTAAATCATGTCAAACATCTAACATATTATTATTGTTACCTAGAGCTATTTATTACTCATTTACTCGGCAATGTGAATATAAGATTGATTTTATAATGAAGCATTATGACGCTGTATGTAAATATAACTGGTACGACTATATTGTAGGTATATTTAAATATAAACACGTGTCTTGAGTCTTCAAACCCCTTTCATGAAACCCGGGAATTTATTATCAACATTTTTAAAAAAGAGACTAAAATAAATGAGACGAATTTCAAAGGTCCATAAATAGTTCAAAATTAGTAGGTGTAAATATTTTGAAATTGTAATTCTGTATAAAAATCATGGTTTAATTAAATAATTAGAAGTGGAATATTTTAATTTTAACTTTTACTCTCTACAGTTTATATTTTTTTGAATTAAAACAAAATAACAAACAGTCTTAGTGAAGAATTTCGTATTTTACGTGTGAATATCAAATTTTGACCACATTTTAACTCTATTCATAACAAAATAACCGTGACTTTACGTTAAATATACAAGTTTAAAAAAAAAATCAAGATTAAACATATTATATTAAAAATAAAGAGGTAAATAAATTATAAATTGTATTCATTTTTAACTCTAAAACATTTTATATACATTTGTGATTTTGATAAAAAAAAAATCGTAAAAAAGCTTATAAAAAGCATTGGACACACCTAATAATAATAATAGATTTTGAAATAAGAATCAACAAAATAACTAGGCTTTAAGACATTATAATATAATATAAATAAGATTTTTTTTAAAATTTATATTAGTGCTTAGTTTATAAATAACTTTATTAAGCTGCCTAAAGTAATATACGTATAAACAATTTATCATACTTTTACAGCACCCACAATGCATTTACCCAAGCTAAACATTTTTTTGTCAAAATTCTAACTTCAGACGCTCATAAAATATACATTGTGGATTTATAAGTTTCTTAAAAGAACGAAACATTATCAATGAATAGTTAAAAGAAAACAAGTGAAATTCAAAATTTTCTTATGCCTACAAATTGCTTAAAAAGAGTCAAAATATTTTTTAAATTGTAAGGTGTATCTAGACAATGCAAATATAAACATTCGATGAATATTTTATGTCCTATGGTTATTTTTTTGTATACAAAAACAATTCAAGATTTTTTTGAGGAGTTACTATAATGATAACATGTCAACATTCTTCTTTGTATGTGTGCAGATTATAATTTTTCAAGTATACTGAAATGGTTTCAGTTAAAAAAAACAGTTCCCGAAAAGGGTGGCGCCAAGTGGTCGGGCGTAACTTCAAAATTAATACCCGCCAGTACACCATGGTGGGCACTTAAAAACGATGGTCGTTTAAGTGGATAATGAGCTTTTAACGGCCAAACCTCCCCTTTGAAACAAATTGATATATTCAGACAAATCGCGTCTTATATTATAGTCTTGTGACTTCTGAGATAATCCCAAGAAAAGTAAGACTTCTCAAGCGTTCGCGTATTTAAAAAAATTGAAACCGAACTACCGGCGGTATTCAAACGTTACGTGTTAAAGAAATACGATTTCCGTGAGTTTTCTAAACTATGCATTTTATGCCGTCCTTGTCTATAATATTTTGAACGATGTACACATAATATCCGAGAGAAAAAAAAAATTCATACCTAATCTCAACACGTCTTCTAAAACACAATCTACCTACTAAGCTGGTTTAAGTTATTATTTACAGTATATTACACTGAACAGTGAACACGATGTGTTAGTCAACACCGATTCGTTTGTTTTATTATATTTTTCTACGCATTTTGATTTTGAATATAATACGAATCGGTGTACTAAATAATTTATAATTGTAATGAAATATTGCTAATAGTTTTTGAACAAATACAAACTTTAAAACATTTAATATTATTAACTTTAAATTCACGTGTTTCATACGACTTTTATAGTAAGTTGTTAAACCTATTGAATACAATTTCCAAGAAAATACAGTATGTATAGTGTCAATAATATTATTAATTAATGTGGCGAGGTAAAAACCAATAGCAACGCGTTTCCGTCGAAAGTTAATATTAAAAGTTTAATCGAATCGATTGAAAACGGATTGAATTATACGCACCAGGAGTGCTTACACGACGTATTTGAAAATGATTGTGCAATTTTCGAAATATAAAATTTGTATAAAGATATATTTTGTGTTGTATTCAAAAGTCCATATTTAGCTCCGTCACAGGGTGGGGAGTATTGTACGTACCGTGCCTACCCAGTCGCACAATATCAGTATAGTATAGCTGCACTCATTTCGATCAGTATCCAAAGACGTCTCATATGTGTATCATGTGACGCCCACTGGAATATCTCCGTCACCTACAAATCTGCAATAGTATAATATTATAATAATATTATGTACTTTCAGTTATTTTTATTATTTTTATTATATATTTTATAAATTGTCTTTTATGTACTATGTGTGCATTATATTGTATTGTGCGTACACACAGTAACAGTAACGATCGGAACAGATCTATTTGTGCCGCTTCGCAGCACTCTTGTCGCCCAACCGTATACATTCGTTTCGGACTTGTGACCTCCATTCCCGCCGCTGTCTTGACCTTATATGGTTGCAACCGTCGTTAACACTTCCCCGGTGTTTTCATTCCCCCCCCCTCCCCACCTCCATCCGCGGTGGTTATATACGACACCGGAGTGCGGTTTGCGCGACCACGGTTATCTCATATAACCCCTCATCGCCCCCCTCAATAAATTCTAGAAGAAACCGCCGGGATGTTGTGGGAACGATTTTATATTTTATTGTTTCAGCGCAGTTTATGGTTAGCATTTTGAAAATCAGTGTCGACAGTACTTTACGGTTTTATAGATTTTGAACGGGGTGTAGAGTTTTTCGATGGGTACCTAGTAAAAAAGCTTTGTGGCACGCGTATATATATCGATTGGAAATTCAATGATTGCGCTTTCTACTTTCTACAGTTCAGTTTTCAATAAACTCTAGGAGTCGAAAATAAATACTGCGCCTGGAATTGAACATAGCTGACATCGACTATTTTTTTCAGTAAATATTGACTACAAACGAACCGTTATGATTATTATTATACTTATAGTGTTATATTTATTGATATAAGAATGTTATTCGATTGAAAAAATAACTTAATTTCAAGCAGTATTTATTCGTTACTATTCCTGTGTAATGTTTGTAAAATATTTCAATACTTGGAAACGGTTGAAATGTAATACTATGTCAATATTATATAGGTACCTAGTGAAATGCGTTTTAATTTGGGCAAGGATTGCAATAATTTTCTTCTGGTACCAATATTATACATTTATACGCACGAATGCTGGATTTTGTACCAATCTGTCTCATGTCTTGAGAATCGGATACTTACAACGAATTATATCCATTTTTGGAACATTTGTTTTTTAAAGGATTTTTAAGAGCATTTTCTTGATTTTTAAGGAATTTTATTCAAAAATTGAATATTGAATGTTTATATAGTGTATGCGAATTGACAATTGCCCCAGTGTTTATACCAGTCTTCAATTACTGAAATGACGTTTGTTGAGACGATGATGGGCAATGATAACGCTCCGAAATTATTATGTAAAGATATCCGTGATCATACAAATATGCAAATTACTTTTAAATATCACATTTTTTTTTTTGGTAATTTTTAAGCTTTTAAATTTTAGATACATGGATGCGTAAATAAACATTTTATAGAAAATATTTTCTTTGTAGACATACTCATTTAATTTACTATTAGATTAATTTGTAATTTAATAATCATACATAATTTATACTTAATATTTATTTTTAATTTTAACTGGAAGGATAATGCCCTATTTTGTTAACAGAAAACGTCAAAATGTTAATTTCAAACAATACTTAGAAATCACAAAGATATTTTAAAATTAATTTGACGTACCAAAGTTGGTAATAAAACAATTCATTTTTCATTGAAATAATTTGTTTTATACATAATAATTTATATTTGGACCATATTATATCCTTTGCATAGTTGTGATTTTACCATTTGTATCAATCACGAACAACAAGGGCATATTAATAATCTTAAAAATCTGTTCATACGACTGAATTTTCTCTTCTTCGCCCTTTGCAATAAATATTTTTGTTCATCCTCAATGCACTGAAGTTGTGTGAGATTATGGTTAAATATTATTTTTACCATTTTTAAATCATATACCACATCGGTCGAATATTGTATTTCGTCTAAGATACCCATGGCTAATTTATTAATTCTTATAAATTCCTGTAATCTTGTTTCGAAATATGCTTTTTTGTCAGCGGGTGGCTTGAATTGTTTAATTTTGGACACCTTTTATAATAATATAATAACAAGCCATTACCCGATTTCAAACATGGTATTATTCGAAGTGAAATACATAATTTTAAACAAACTACCTTAAAATGCACCATGTTCTCCAATTTGTCTACAGATTTGTAAAGTTCATTTTCTTCATCCTCCAACTGATGGGGTCTCACAATTTTTTTATTATTTAATGTTTCCTTTTTTCTACTGCAATTTCCAGATGTATTAATGCCGTTCGAAGAATCAGCTGTTTTCTTTTTGGGAGATTGGCTCTGAATGTTTTTTCTTTGTCGAAGACAGTAATACTTCTCGCCAAATTTCTCAATAAATATTTTTTCTTCCGACATTAATGTTATCTAATGTCAGTTAAATGCATAGACTGGTTTTTTCATACAATTTATGAACACATATTAAATTTTAAATTTTAAAACATTAGTATAAAATAATATACATTATAAAGAAATTAATCGAATATTGTTACTATAGCATGAAATAAACAATATTACTTTCTTGCGATAGTATAGATCCAAGTCATACTAATGTACTAGGTATAATATAAAATGGCATAAACTAGAATTTTTAATTGTTTTATTTACGTATTTAAATATAGATGGCATAACATAGGATGTAGTTAATAAAGTTATGTAATTTAATTTGTTGGTCTTTTTTTCTGTTATACGGCACTTATTGTTCGATCTATTTGAACGTTCAAATTACAGACTTATCCATCCACCGGGCGGTGACCGCAACCGGTTGTCGGCGATGTTTGTATTTCTGTTGTTTTTTTGTTGTGAAATTAATTTTAAAATGTCAAAAAAAATTTTTTTACTTGGGTGTAATATAGTTTATGCTAGTGAGTATAGAAGATTAAAATTATACAACGAAAAACCCAATACTATTCAGTCCACAGATATAAAAAGAAATTTTTTTATGAATTTCCAACTCAAAATAATTTGCACATTTCCTTAAATTTCACGAATTTTGTCAAAATTCAAACAAATTATTGTCGATTTACGATCATTTTTCTTTTGATTTTCATTATAACAATTTACGAGGAACCTCACTGCGTTACATTTTCAAGGTTTTTGATCGAGCAAAAATGTTTTATCCACCTAACCTTACGAAGAAAATAAAATCACTTTTACTGCCCACCCCAATGAAAAAATCTGAAATATTATTGTTATCCTATTAATTAAAGATCTTGGCAAATTAGTCCACAAACAAAATAATTTTTCAAAAAACAATCTTTTATATTCACATTTGTTGTTGTTTCTTTTTCATACGTATATTAGATATATCTAAAAGTCTAAATTATTGAGCATTTGATGGTAGAGTTTAGATTAGAGTTCAAACAAATTGATATAACATAATAATATTATAATTTCCTAGATTAGTATAATATTACCATATTATTATGACACATAACTATTGCAGGTGGTAAGGGTAACATTCACGAATCACTTTGGTTGATCATTTCAGCTTCTCTGCGCTACACCACCGAAAAGTTTATGCTGTGTTCTCTTTTCATAAGAATCAAATGAAATTATAATATGTTGGAGCCTTTTTTGCTCTCTAATGATAGTAGTACCGATGACGAGTGTTAATTCGCAGTAACCACTAACACGTTTGACCTAAATCAAAGACGTTTATGATCAATTAATGTGTAAGAAATCAATGTCAAGTGCATACAAAAACTATTTTAGTATTCAACTCATAATCTACACATACAATATATGCCTTGCTATGTCTATATATTCTATGTTAATCATTTATAGTATTAACTATTAGTATATCATGTCAATTAATAAGCTGCAATGCATAATAGCGGCTATTAATATTAATTAAATACAAAACATAAATAATGCGAACTGAAGCAGTTCATTAATATAAAATAGAATGTTTAAATGTTTATACAGTATACACGAATGAGAAAATCACAAAATCATTTTCAATTTTCAGGGATACAATATTATAACACGGCGTTTTAGATAGGCGTTTTAGCTACCTACACTTGCCAAGGTCCACTTTTCGTGTATCTCACGACTCCTATACATCGAATATCCCAAGTCGAAAACTACGTACTTTCCACACGAACTTCACACCCAAACAATCAAAATATTATGTGTATTAAAATCGTATAGGTACCACTATTAATATTGTTATTGATATAGAACAAAGTTATCGTTAATAATTGTCAGTGATATCTATATACGAATATTACAATTTAATAAATTATTTAATGCCAAATAAAGTTTGTTGGTGTTATAAATATTATATTTTGGTATCGATCACCACAGCCTCGGTCCAAAACTCATCTGTGAATATTGTACAACCAACACACAACGGTATAACTCTTCAAATTCAGCTTGCAATTTTTCATTTTCCATTTAGTCATCGACTAATCCTATACACTGATATCGAATAACCAGTGTCAAAACTTATTTAGATAATTATTGTTTTAATCTTTTTTTATCTTATCTAGATAAATAGATACAAGTTATCCAACTATTGATTTTAGCTAAACATTTCGGAGTTTGTCGATTGCGTCCCAGATGCAGGTAAATGATTTTTTGCCCACCTTTTCCGTGTGCCGATTGCGTCCTATTGTATAGTAGGTAAGCGTTAATGTGACAGATAAATTGACATATTATATATCTAATATTTTTGTCATACATGATGTGGAGGTATATTTAAACACGAATTGGTTTTTACTTGATGAGTTTACGAACATTTTATCTGAAGGCTGGTACTCTTATCGATTTACGATCACGTGGCGATTTAGTACTTCAAGTGCCTTATTAGAGTCGAAAGATACTTTAAAGTTTAGACTTAATAATGAATACCATTTTTAGTGAAAAAAATAAGGAAATCCGTATAATTGATAAGTTTAAATATCGTTTTCACAAAATGTTGACCAATGATGTCGAGCGTTGGAGTTGCACAAATAAAAATGTTTTTGTATTATTATTATTTTATAACACTGACAAGAAAATATATTATTTAAATTATTTATTCCTATATGTTTGGATTTATTTTTATTGGTTTTTGTATTATTATTATTTAAAAAATAATAATTAATTATGACTATTCGTTTTACAAAATGTTATGCTTATATATCATACAACAGGACGCAATCGGAACATAAAAAGGTAAGAAAAAATGATTTACCTATCCGACTTGTGGACGCAATCGACATACTGAAAAGGTATAAAAGGTTGAAACGGGACGCAATCGAATGACGCCCAAACATTTCACGTATCTAGATAAATTCACAAGGTACATTTTTTTGTGAAAATTAGCTACATCTGTTCGAAAACGTTTCATTTTTATTATCATTGTCTCGGGCACAACTTGTAGGTAAAATAACATCACGGGCTAAAAATATATGACTTTATTCTGAAAAGACTATACATTTTTTCTATTTGGTATAACGATTACTTATTAGTTATTAGAAATAAATATTCTGTATTCAGTTATAAACATGTATAAAATATACTAATTAATTTATATAAGTATCATCGAGACCGGTGTTATTTATTAGATCCAGAATTTTATAAATATTTTAAAATTATAATCCAAACATGAATAATAGAAACAGGCTTCAATTAATGACCACCAAACAAAATTCCAATGAATAAAATATTATAATATGATTATATATTATTATTATATTTATTGAAAAATAAACATAAACCAGCCGTTTATTCTTTCCGTATTCGCTATACTACGTTAATCTGAAATTAATATAAAACATAAATAATATATAATTCACACTGGTATATTGATATATTCTGATATTTATGATAATTGATAAGTCTGACACACAAATACGTGGGAATTGAGATGCTATTGTGTTTTATATTTTATAATATAAATCTATGGACTATTCACTATCTGTTAACCAATTTTAATGAGTAAATAACTTATACAAATAATAAACATTTACAAACTACTCGTAAATATCAACGAAAGTAAGGATATCATACTGGCATGTACTTATATGACAGTATACCTATTTTTTTTGAATTCGTTATTTTAATTTTAATATCCATAATTATTATCTATCATTTATCTAGATAAAATATTTTTATCTTATACATTTTTGTTAGATGAATTTGATTTTCTTATCTTTTATCTGTATTTAGATACGATTTAGTGTTTTTATCTTTATCTTTATCCTTATGCAGATGATTTTTTTGTTATCTGTCCCTAACAAGGATTAATAACTGTCGATAGGTCCGTTTCAAAATCATATGATACAATTTTCAGAGTTGAGTACATTATTTTAAATTTTATTTTCGCATTCGTATTGTTTGGATCTTCTTTGATTGCCTCACCTACTTCATACAGACGTCGGAATGGTAATGAAAATACTAAACAATGATTATTATCGAAACAGATACGTAGGTATCAAACTTAATAAGTTATCTACTAAAAATTATATATTTAAAAATGTCTATCGTATACAATTTAAATGAAATAAATTGGAGAATGTGATGAAACACCATGCAAGTATCAAGTATCAAGTAGCTTTTCTTCTGAAGTAATTATTACTTTTTCCAGGTAAAAAAAAGTCTTATGAATCAGTAGAAAATGGTAAACCATAATTAGGTACCTACATATAATTTCTTTTTGTATAAAATTAACATGATATTTATAGCGATTGCAATAATTTCGATTTTCAGAGTATTGTAATTTTGGTGAATTGTCCTACTGCTATAAATATAAACTACGCACTGCGTATCCAATACATTTTGTACCTTAATTCTTTCAGAAATTAGAAAATTAAAATAGGAATATCGATTGTAGTTCAATAATGGTTGTATTTTTAAAATATCATTCGAAGGTACTTGTTATTGTATCTTATACACTCAGTAACATTTGCAACGTATTTTTTTGGCAAAAACTTATTCAGCCAACTGTATTAGGCCACGTATAACAAGAACAACGATTACACAATTGTTCAAAATGCTCGGAGCCACTGCAGTTTATTTAGTTTGCATACTAAATAATTACTCAGGTGATAAAAAGCAAGTGGTATGAACTACTTATTCGAAACCCGGTTTAAAATATTTATTACATGCCTATAAAAATCAAAAATATTTTCAAACTGCCATTATAGCAATATACGGGGAAATTTTTTTTGAAAAAAACGTTTGTTTCTAATTTTGATTTTGGTTTTGGATATTGGTATTTGTTTCTTCCGATTTCGTTTTAGGTTTTGGATATTGAAATGTATTATTTCCAATTTCGATTTCTGTTTCGGATATCCGTATTAATTTTTTTAGATTTTGTTTTTGGTTTTGATTAATAGTATGGATTTATTTTATTATGTTTCAGTTTCGAT